CCCACCCCACCCACGTACGCGATTACTGCAGTTGCGAATGTGAGAGCATGGTCGACGTATGGTCCTTATCCCAACAATGTTTCTGTTCTTCTAGATTGTTTGAGTCTCATACCGGACAAAGAAAGCCGTAATTGAAGTTCTGAAGCACACAAATAAGTTAAACACAGTAGGCCTAAGCCAATGTACATGTAATTGTTCACAGACACTACGTTATTCTACATTTTGAAAATATCACCTAAATGTATATCAGTGAAGTAACAAACGACAAAATGTATCACAGTTTTATATTAGGGAGTCGCCTGGAATCATTCATCATAAATAAAGGACTGACGCTCATTGTCTTTTTGTTGCTGTGGTAGTGGAAGTGTTTTGTTGCGCGCGGGACTGGGTCAAAGTAACAGAAATCATATTGACTACAGTAACCTACCGTTTATAAGCCCGGGACTTATACAATTTGGTAAGGTTTTTTTTTTAAATGGGCATATAAAGGGAGGGACTTATATCCAGGGGGGCGTATAAGCGGAATACGGTATAGCAGTATTGATCAAAATACGTTTTTCATTTACTGGTTTTCAATTAAGCTTTAAAACATCATATTGGTCACATTTCCGTGTTTATGGACCTTAACTGCAGCTCGATCCATAAGTACGGAAAAAAAAATTAGCAGTCTTGTCTTCAGTGGCTCACAGGTATTTTGGGCTGCTATATTCAAGCCACTGGATTTTATTACCCAATCAATTATTGTTATCATCATCTGCAGTATATTTATTTTTCGTTTAAATCATGTTATTTGGACGAGCTTGATTCTTCCATTGTCCAGTTCGACAGCCTCGACTCCAAACTGCCGCAATCTTGACGAGTTGGCAAGCCCTCCAGGATCCATTGATGAAACAATGTTCTGATTTTCTTTATTGTTCTCCAGAAGATTCCTGATGGCGAAGATGGCCCACTGGCAAATATCTAAAGTATTTTAGGTCAAGGTCGATGCCAACGAATTTTAATAACAATCCTTTCAAAACCCACATGAACCGATGGTAATTAGTTGAAAAACACAGCTTGGCAACCCATGGGCTGCTGAATGGGTCCCATTACTGATTGGTTGAAAGCCTGTTGATTGGCTCACATTCTTGTGCACAGTTGCAGTACGTCAGCAAACGGCGCGAAAACAACGAGGGTCGGGTTTGATGATAAGGTGGTGAAATGAGTAGGGAGTGAAATATTTCTCTCAGATGGTCCGCAGAAAAAAAAAATTATTTGAGCATGAAATTTATTGCTCCCCTTTAGGTTGTGCATGATTTTTTGGGGGGTGGGCAATAGCTTGTGCAATACTTTTCTCAAGCAGGAGCCTGTCTCAAGGTAAAACACAAGGCCTGTATAGTAAAAGGGACGTGCTCGTTTTTCCCTATGGTCCGATCTTGCACGATTCTTTTTTGCTGTCCGGGCCTTTCATTTTAATTTCCCAATCCCTCCCCCCACCCCACCCCCTCCACCGTCAAGAAACAATGGTCCGTCCTTTAATCAAAAACATGAGTCTCGGTCTTTATTCATGGAAAACACTTTAGGAATTTGCTTTCTCTCGGTGGCTATTGTATGCTTATGTGTTCGCGGTAAAAATGATTACGATTGTAAAGAAGCTCACGAACAGCGGGGATTTTGCCTCTTGAAACACAAGTACAAGAAAATTCAGGCCGATAGTTTGAGTCAGTGTTATATGAACTGCACCAGAGAGATTTCTCGTCGCAGCGTCAACTTTTTTTCTG